GGTTCATCCATGTTGTTGCAAATGGGAATTTTTCATTCTTTTTTATGGCAGAGTAGTATTCCGTAGTGTATATATACCAAAGTTTCCTTATCCAATCATCCATTGGGACATTTAGGTTGGTTCCATATCTTGGCTATTATAAACAGAGCTGTGATGAACATGGGAGTGCAAGTATCTCTTCGACATGATGATTTCCATTCCTCTGGATATATACCCAGGAGAGGGATTGCTGGATCATATGGAAGATCTATCTGTAGTTGTCTGAGAAACCTCCATATTATTTTCCATAGTGAAAATTTATAGTCCCACCAACAGTGCAATAGTGTTCCCTTCTCTCTACACCCTCACCAACATTTGTTATTCACTGTCTTTTTTATTATAATCAGTCTAACTGGAGTGAGGTGGTATCTCAATGTGGTTTTATTTTTTTTTTTTTATTTTTTTATTTTTAATTATTTATTTATTTATTTATTTATTTATTTTTTATTTTGTCAATATACACTGTATATGATTATTATGGCCAGTCACCGACACCTCCCTCCCTCAATGTGGTTTTAATTTGCATTTCCCTGATGACTAGTGATGTTGAGCATTTTTTCATGTATCTGTTGGCCATTTGTATGTCTTCCTTTGAAAAATGTCTATTCAGCTCCTTTGCCCATTTTTTAATTGGGTTATTTGTTTTTATACTGTATAATGGCTTGAGTTCTATGTATATTCTGGATATTAATCCCTTGTCAGATGCATAGTTAGCAAAAATTTTCTTCCACTCTGTAGGTTTTCTTTTCACTCTGTTGATTGTTTCCTTTGCTGTGCAGAAACTTTTTAGTTTGATATGGTAAGATTTGTTTATTTTTTTTTTTGCTGCTTGTGCTTTTGGGCTCATGTTCTTAAAGCCTGTGTCCTGACCCAACTGCTGAAGTGTTTCACCTATATTTGCCCTTAGTAATTTTACAGTTTCAGGTCTTATACTTAAATCTTTAATCCATTTTGAGTTGATTTTAGTGTATGGTGACAGATGCATATCTAGTTTCATTTCTTCTGCATATGGATATCCAGTTTTCCCAGCACCACTTGTTGAAGAGGCAGTCTTTTCCCCAATGTAGATTTTTGTTGCTTTTGTCTAATGTCAGATGGCTGTAAGCCTGAGGAGTGATTTCTGGGTTCTCTATTCTACTCCACTGGTCTGAATGTCTATTTTTGTACCAGTACCATGCTGTTTTGGTTACAACAACAGCTTTGTAGTATAATTTGAAGTCAGGCAGAGTTATGCCTCCAGCTTTATTTTTTTTTTGCTCAGGATTGCTTTAGCTATTTGAGGTCTTTTATTTTTCCATATGAAAGGTAAGATTGTTTTTTCCATTTCTGTGAAGAATGTCATTGGTATTTTGATGGGGATTGCATTGAATCTGTAGATCACTTGGAGTAGTATAGACATTTTCACAATGTTAATTCTTCCAATCCAAGAGCATGGAATATCTTTCCATCTTTTTGTGTCCTCTTTAACTTCTTTCAGAAGTAGTTTGTAATTCTCATTGTAGAGGTCTTTCACCTCTTTGGTTAAATTGATCCCTGGGTATCTTATTTTTTTTGTGACAATTGTAGATGGGCTTACTTTATTTCTCTTTTTGTTAATTTATTATTTGAGTATATAAATGATACTGATTTGGGGCATTTATTTTGTATCCTGCAACATTACTGAAGTTATTAACCAGCTCTAGGATCTTTTTGATAGAGTCTTTAGGTTTTTCTATATACAGTATCATGTCATCTGCAAATATAGAAAGTTTAACTTCATCTTTTCCAATCTGGATTCCCTTTATTTCTTTCTCTTGCCTGGATGCTCTAGTTCTGCGTTAAATTGAAGTGGTAAGAGTGGACATCCTTGTCTTGTTCCTGTCCTTAAGGGGAAGGCCTTCAGTTTTTCCCAGTTCAGAATGATGCTGGTGATGGGCTTGTCATAAATGGCTTTTATTTATTTATTTATTTTTTTGTCTTTTTCCGTGTCCGGCAACGGATCGCAACCCTCAGTGTCGCCCCCATACCGGACCGGGACCAGCAACGGGATCGCAGCCCTCAGTGCTGCTCCCGCGCCTCGCTCAGCCAGTGAGTGGGAACCGGTCTGTATGTGGGATCCGAACCCTCGGCGGGAGCGCCGCCACACTTCCCAAGCGGTGCACTATAGCAGTGCGCCACCGGGCCGGCCCCATAAATGGCTTTTATTGTGTTGAGATATTTTCCTTCATACCTAATCTGTTGAGAGTCTTTATCATGAAGGGATGATGAATTTTGTCAAGTGCTTTTTCAGCATGTATTGAGATAATTATATGGTCTTTGTCCTTGAGTTTGTTGATGTGATGTATCACATTTATTGACTTCTGTATGTTAAACCATCTTTGCATCCCTGGGATGAATCTCACTTGATCATAGTGTATAATTTTTTTAATATATTGCTGTATTCTGATTGCTAATATTTTGTTGAGGATGTTAGCATTTAGGTACATCAAGGATACTGGCCTATAATTATCTTTTTTTGTTGTGTCTTTACCTGGTTTTGGTATCAGAGTTATGTTGGCCTCATAGAATGAGTTTGGGAGAGTAGTGTCTGTTTCAATTGTTTGGAATAGTTTGAGTAGAATTGTTATAACTTCTCTTTAAAAGTTTGATAGAATTCAGCTGTAAAGCCATCTGGACACGGACTTTTTTTTGATGGAAGATTGCTAATTACCACTTAAATCTCCTTGCTTGTTATTGGTCTGTTCAGGTTTTCTATCTCTTCTTGGTTCAGTCTTGGTAGTTTATATGTGTCTAGAAACTTATCCATATCTTCCAGATTTACATATTTGTTGTCATACAATTGTTTGTCTCTAATGATTCTTTGTATTTCTGTGGTATCAGTTGTAATGTCTCCCTTTTCATTTCTGATTTTTGTTATTTTGTTTTTGTTTTGTTACTTCTTTCGTCTTTTTTTTTTTGTTAACCTGGCTAATGGTGTGTCTATTTTATTTATCTTCCCAAAAAGCCAACTTTTAGTTTTGTTGATCTTTTCTATTGTTTTTTGGGTCTCTATTTCATTTAGTTCTGCTCTGATCTTAACTATTTCTTTCCCTATACTACCTTTAGGTTTGGATTGTTGTTGTTTTTCATGTTCTTTGAGGCATAGTGTTAGGTCGTTTATTTTAAGTCTTTCCATTCTTTTGATATAAACATTTACTGCAATAAATTTTCCTCTTAGTACTGCTTTTTCAGTATCCCACAGGTTTTGGTATGATATATCTTTATTTTCATTAATTTCTAGAAGTTTTTTGATTTCTTGTTTAATTTCTTCTTGAACCCATAGGTCATTCAGGAGCCTATTATTTAGTTTCCATGTCTGTATGGCTTCCAGCGTTTTGCTTATTGTTTATTTCCGTTTTAGTCCATTATGGTCGAAAAAGATAGTTGGAATGATTTCAATTTTTTAAAATTTGCTCAGCTGTAATTCTTTAAGTACAGCTCTTTGAGTAGAGTTTCTCTTAATCTGAAGACTCGTGACACCCAACATACAGTAGTAGGACAAGAATAGGATAACTGCTATCAACACTCCTAGTCAAAAAGGGGAAAACAGGAGCACATGGGTTCATTGCAGTTTTGAAATCCAGCTGAGCACAGGTCATTACTTGATTAGGACTCAAAGCCTGGGAATAATAATAATCATTCTCCATGGTTCTTGGCTCTATCACCTGTTGTTTTATTGCTGTTGTTTTGGCAGCTGGACAGTACAGGGATTGAACCCTGGACCTTAGTGTTATCAGCACCATGCTCCAGACAGCTGAGCTAACTGGCCAGTCCTATCCTCTGGATTTTGAGTCTGACTTTGAGTCATTTTTCTTCTTTGGATGAAAGTTAGCATGTTTCTAACAGATTGGTTTTCTCAGCCTGCTTGTGGAAATTTGGGGGTTCAGAAGCCTCTTTTTATCTTGCACTGTTACTGTCCCTGAGTCCAAGCCAGCTGGTGTTTCTTGAATATAATTCTCTAAAATCTTTGTGTGTCTCCTGTGAATATTACTGAGTTTCACTTCCTTTGTCTTCTCTTTAAATATTGGTATTTCCTCAGAGTACCCTTCTTGATCCTCTTCTCTTTTCACTCCATACACTGTCCCTAGATGATCCCATTGACTCCAAGGATTCACTAGAACTCCTATGCTAATAATTCCCAAATCCTTGTCTCTGAAGCAAAATACTCTCCTGAACTTCAAGCCCATGTACAGTATTTGCAAATTAATCATTACATGGGTGCTTCTGAAGCCCAAACCCAAGAGCCATCCTTGATGTCTCCCTCTCTCTTATCACATATATTTCTCAAATCCATGCCCTTGTTTCTGTCACCACTCCCTCTGCTTTAGGGCATACTCTTGCCATCTCTTGCCCGCATTGTTGAACATCTTCTCCTTCTTGGATTCTCTACCCTCAGTTTTACCCCCTCCAATCCATTCTCCACTCTGAAGCCAGAGAAACCTTTTAAAAATACAATCCTAGTTATGTTATTCCCAAGTCCTTTAATGATTCCTCAGGGCTTTCCAGATGAAATCCAAACTCCTTGGCATGACCACAAAGCCATCATAATCTGTCCTACATTTTCATTCTCATATCTGGCAACTACTTTTCTTCCACCCAGAATATCCCATGCCGTCTCAAGCCTCTTTGCCTATAATTATGGTGTTGCTATTGTCTGGAATGTCCTTCCTCCTCCCTTCTCTTCCAGATTGGTTAATCCTTACTCATAGATACTTCAAGGCTCACTGAGCTTAAGTATTGTTTGATCTGCCTTCTCTCACCTGTCCTATTCCTCCATTGTACTTCGTACTCACCTCTCTCAGAGTTCTTACCATCCTTTCACTTGCCTGTTTTCCCCATGAGACCATGGGCTCCTTCAGGGTTCAGTAAGGGAATCTCTAGCATAATGTTTGCTATAAAATAATTTTATGAATAAATAAATTAATTAATTCTTTATTATTTAGGTTCTTCAAGTCCTTTTTTTGTGTCATCTATTCGTGGTACAATAATTGAAAACACTTCAGCTGGAACTTTGACACAAATTCCTTTTTTCCCTAAATATGAAGTGGAACTTGATCCTCATAGAAAACTCATTCCTTACCCTGGAAAGGAACACATCGAACGTGTTTTGGATGAATATTCACATCAAGTAAAAGATTTGCAGAGAAAATTAAATGAAGTGAGTTGCATTCTTATTTTCTAGCATATTGCCTTGGAATAGAAGCTAAATTTCCTGGAAGAAAAAGTTAACGATGGGTTTATTAGTTAAGCTTGTTAATTTTACCTGTGCTTCCTATTTCAGTGTTAAAAATTGGGCTCATTAAAATGTCTACATATCTATTTTCCTTTTGTTGATAACTATTCATAATGTCTTGGTCTTATGATGTAAGTTTAATGAAGCATGAATAGCTCGAAATGTTTTAATTAATGACATTTATCTGTAGTTATAATTAATAATTGGTTCAAGCCTACTGTCCCGCTATCATGATACCTGGTTTCTCCTTACAAAGCAATAGTAGAGGGTAGGTTTTTGGATGTATGCATGAGAGCTAGATGGCATATGGAAGTTATTTGCTAAAAATTTCAAGTGGACCTTACATAGAATCAAGCTGGCTTTACAAGTGCATATTGGATCCCAGCAGTCCACAGTCTAAAAGTCAAACTTCTTACCATGATATGTAAAGCTCTTCATGATCTAACTTCTCCCTGGTACATTTTAGCATCATCTGCTATCTATTCTGTGTATGTACTCTCTGTTCCAGCAATATCAAACTATTTGCTCTTCCCTGGTTGTCCCATGCTACTCTAGGCCTTCATGCCTGTGCCCAGCCCATTTCCTCTTCTCTACCTTGTCTGCTTGGCAAACTCAAGCATTTCCTTCACTGAAGCCTTTTTTCTAGGCAACATTTGGTGCATTCTCCTCTGTAAAGTTATTGCCATTTGTGCACGTGTCTGTTGTGATATTTATTACATCTTATTGTACTCATTAACACATTATTCTTCCTCATCAAACTGAGCACTTTTAGGCAAAAAACCTTACAATTTAAGTGCTGAAAATTATGTGTCACTGTATTATATACAGGGGATACAAAGATGAATAAGATAGGACTCATAAGAAGTTCATAGTCTTGGAAGGGAGCTGGTCATATAAACAAATAGTGCCAATACCTTATAATAAATACACTAATGAAGATATATATAGACAAAGGAAGCACAGAGGTACTAATAAGGAAAATAAACTGTCTTAATTTATTTTCTATGTCCATCCCCTGGCAGAGTACATGACACTTGATTGGCTCCAATAAATATGTGTTACATCAATCAATAAATAACAGGGCTATTTGGGTACTTGTAGTACTTACCATGCATTTCCTATGCAACAGACATTGTGCTAGGAATTGAATATACAAAGATGGAAGACATGTGATCCTTTCCATGTACACATTTACAGTCTTGTGGCAGAGATATTTAAAAGAGAAAATGATAGTAACAGTGAGATCTGTGCTACAGTAGAGAACAGTAAGCAATGAAGCTAAATCCAATCAATGCCTTACGTTCCTTATCTTACTTGACTTTTCAACAACATTTGACACAAGCATTTTCCTTTTGAAGTGTTCTTTTCTGCTAGGTCTCATGGGAATACACTCTCCTGATTTTCCTTGAACTCATGCTTTTTCAGTCTCTTGTTCCAGTAAAAACCTCCATAGACAGTCATAATGATTCCATGGCTTTTGTTGCCAATTCTATGCCAACGAATGTTCAATTTATATTTTTCACAGACTTCTTTCTTGTCTGAGCTCCACACCAATTAGTTTACCCAGGTACCTACTTGACATTTCTACTGAAAATGTTCCTTAGTTTCCATAAACACATTTCCAACTGCGTACATGATCTTTTCCCCAAACCTGCTTTACCCCATGTTTTCTTCAGCTGTTACGTGGTGTCTGCCACCTTTACATAACTGCACAAGGCAGAAACCCGATTCGTTCTTGATACCTCTCCTTCCGTCCTGATATTCACTTTACCGCCAAGTCCATCCAATAGTACCTCATATATATTTCTGAAACCTGTTTTCATGTCTGCTGTTACCATCCTAAGTTCAGTCCACTACAGCAATTCACTTGGACTATAAGGGGAGAAGTTAAAGGGACTTACCTTACAGTGACTACATATATGTTGTCAATTACACAATCAAGTAATATGCTATTACATTTCCTTTCTTGTGTAGATTTTTGTTTTTCCTCCGGTTTCTAATTGGCTTTCTTTTTCCTTATACTATTTGCCTTTATCATATCCTCATTAAAAAACCACTATCATAGGCCAAGCCCGTGGCACACTTGGGAGAGTGCGGCGCTGGGAGTGCAGCAGCACTCCTGCCACGGGTTTGGATCCTATATAGGGATGACCGGTGCGCTCATAGCGCTCACTGGCTGAGCGTGGTGCGGCCGGTCTCAAAAAGGACAAAAAAAAAACCCACTATCATACAGATTTTCTATCAACTGCTCCTCTGACCCAGGACTCTTCCGTATCTTCTGACCTTTTGCACAGTTGACATTAGTTTCTGCTTAGGTCTCTTGTACAACTGTTTTCCTGAGACTCCTGCCACTGCTTTTGTGGTTAAATCCATGGTTTCCAGGATTCACCGTTTTCGATCTTCCTTCTTGATCTACTTCTTCATTTAGTTAAAACACATCTTTATTAACTTTTTAAGAAAGGGTATATGGGAGATGCATTTTATGAATCTTTGCAAGTCTGAGAATGACTTTATTTTACAAACATACTTGATTGATAATTTAGCTGTGGAAAGTTGAAAGTCATTTTTTCTCAGTCCTTTGAAGATATACTGCCCTTGCGTTCAGTATTATTCCTGAGAAGTAGTCTGGTTCTTGTTTTTTTGTAGATGATATGTTTTTATTTAATTGAATTTCGTCTTTAAGGTCTTTTCTCTTTACCTATGAAATTCCACCATAATCTGCATAGAGGTGGATTTTTTTTTTTTTTTCATTCACTATGCTAGGGACTCAGAAGACCCCTTTTTGGTCTGTAGAACTGTACCTTTAAACTTTCAGAAATTCAGTTGTGTTTTTCTTTAACAGTTTCCTACCCTCAGTTTTCTCCCTTCTCTTTTACTGAAGCTCCTGTTAGTTACATAATATCTCTTTAGTTGAACCTCTAAATCTCTTACTTTTTCTTTCAAAATTTTTATTTGTCTACTTTTTCTACCTTTGGAAGGCATTTCTTGACTTCCAACATTTCTATTGTATTGAACCTTTTAGTTTAACAACCATATTTTTAATTTCCAAGACCTCTTCTCCCTTGATCATTTCTTTGGCATAGCATCCTGTTCTTGCTTTATAGCTGTAATATCTCTTTAATTTTTCTGCAAATACAGAGTTTTGGAAGTGTTCTTACATTCCTTGCATTATCTATCTTTGTTTCCAATGGATCTTTTTTTCTGGGTATTTGCTTGTTTAAATTTGGTCTCTTTTTTATTTAGAATCTTTCTTCCAGTGTTCAGTGGTTTTTGTTTTTCTGTTAAAATTCAAAGATGAAGCAGTTAAAAAGCTGATAGAAAACTCTTTCTTCATGGGCAGAACTTGATGGCTTTGCTTTGGGATGATTAAGTGGAGCATCACCTGTTATCCTGGTAGATCCTTCAGTGCCTGACTTTAGAATCTTTGTGAATTTCTCTGTAGTAGAACACCTCGATTTTTGGGTGTTGGTGTGTTTGCTAAGTATTTTTAAGTGGGTTGGAGGTGGGGGTTGACATTTGTGTGTACAGAATTTCAACCAATTCTTGTGTTTTCAGGAACAGAACTATTCCTATCTCCTTATTGAGATGGAATTCAGACATGTTGTAGAAGCATGGTTTGGGCTGCAAAGTAGAGAATGGATTAGAAGGGGCCAACCTTGAGACAGGGAGACTAGTTTAGGTATCCCAGTAATCTAGGTGAGAAATGATTAATTGGACTCTGAACTATGGTGGTGGGGGAAGGCAGTACACATAAAAATAAATTAATAATGTATGGTCTTTTGGGAATTATCAGCTATAAGGAAATGTATTCCTTTAACAAAGATTAATTTACATGGCTTTTTATTTTCAGAGCAATGAATTGCATGAGAAACAAAAGTTTTACTTAAGGCAGTCAGTCATTGATTTACAAACAAAACTTCAAGAGATGCAAATGGAGAGAGATGCCATGGCTGATATCAGGTTGGGATTTGTTACCTGAAATTATTTTACATTTTGTTTTTTGTAGTAAAACTACTTGTGTGAAGATGTTTAATCAATATTATTTCTTTTTTTTTTTCACTTATTTCATAGACGAAGAGAGAGTCAGTCCCAGGAGGATTTAAGAAATCAGCTTCAAAATACAGTTCATGAACTCGAAGCTGCCAAATGCCTTAAGGAAGATATGCTGAAAGACAGCAACACACAGATAGAGCAGCTAAGAAAAATGATGCTTAGTCATGAGGGAGTGCTTCAAGAAATCCGATCAATCCTAGTTGACTTTGAAGAAGCCTCAGGCAAGAAAATATATGAACAGGACAGCATGTCTACTATGCACTTCCGCAGCTTGGGCTCAGCTATTAGTAAAATCCTAAGAGAATTAGACACAGAGATTTCTTATCTTAAAGGGAGGATATTTCCAGTAAGTGGTGAGACCACTACTTCAATTTTATATTAAAATGCATTAAGAGGATAGTATTAGGTGTATAATTTTTTAAATTCTTAAAAGTAAGCCTAGTTCTCATTTTTATTCTCTGAAATAACTGAAGTTACTTTCATAGTGATCTCTCTTTAACAGGAACCAGCTTGATTTACCTGTATAACTTCATAAAGTATAGCCAAAGTAAAAGATCTAATAAAATACAGTCATGGAATGTTTCTAATTTTAGTATTATTTGTATTTGCATCTTTCTAAAGTATTCCTTTAGTTGAAAATCTCTAAATTTTCCAAGCTTTAAATTTATCAGTACCTAAATCAATGTCCCTTTTTTAAAACCAGGTAGAGGATCAGCTTGAAGCACTGAAATCTGAATCACAGAACAAAATAGAACTGCTTCTTCAACAACATCAAGATAGGTAGGTTTCTATACCTCTGACTGAGGTACAGAAAGTTACAGTGAAACTAAACCATAGCTTTACAGTCTCACACCTGCAATCCCCAAATCTAAAAAGCTCTGAAACAGAAAGTTTTTTCCATGGGTTTGTAGCAAACTCATGTGAAAGAAAAAAAAATTCTGACATTTATTAAAATGGTAAGGAAAACTTTATTCAAGTCTGTTGCAATACGGATATTGCTATAAGAGAGAGAGAGATTAAGCTTAACTCCCAATACAACAAGGACAAGTGGGGACTTACAGCCAAGGAGTGAGGGGATCAATGGATGGAAAAGTACTAAGTGGAGACATCAGTGGTAGGGGGATTCTTGCTAAAGGCAAGCTAATGACTTAGATATCAAGGGTGGAAGATGAGGAACTTGATCAGATATGAACGGTGGGAGGATTCTTGCTGAATTGACTTAGCAGGAGTCTTGCTAAAACTGAGCTGGGCAGGCCACAGACAGGTGCCAAGGCTGAGGACTAGTTGAAAAGAGGGCTCAGAGGAGCCTGACTAAAGTTTGATTAAGGAGAGAGTGTTTGTCACTCATTTGTTGGCAAAACTTGACCTGAGCTAATGTAAAGCTTTTTATAGTCTTTATGATTTAGTGTGAATATTTACAAACTTATAGTTACATTTGTAATATGTTTGGTTTACAGGACACTTTCCTAGATATCACTGGGGTGTCATGTAATATATAGTACTTACAATTTATTACCACTGTAAAGTCAAAAATATTCTGAATTCCAAAGCCTAGCTGGTCCCGAAAGGATGTGAATAAAGGATTTTGGACCCATCTTAGATACTTGCCATAAAAAGAGTAGCATATAGGGCCGGCCCGGTGGTGCACTGCTACAGTGTGCTGCTTGAGAGCGCGGCGGCGCTCCCGCCGAGGGTTCGGATCCCACATACAGACCGGTTCCCGCTCACTGGCTGAGCGAGGTGCGGGCGCAGCACCGAGGGTTGCAATCCCGTTGCTGGTCCCGGTCTGGTACGAGCGCGACACTGAGGGTTGCGATCCGTTGCCGGACATGAAAAAAGACAAAAAGGAAAAAAAAAAGAGTAGCATATATAAAGTCAAAGCAAAATAAAAAATTTGAGAGCGTTGGAAATCATTAATTTCTAAAATAATCTGTAGTCAGAAAAATCTTCTGTATTAAATAACAACAACCACATTCTTTTTATAGGATTGAGCAGTTAATAAGTGAACATGAAGTTGAAATAACAGGACTTACCGAGAAAGCTAGCAGTGCTCGAAGCCAAGCCAATAGTATCCAAAGTCAACTGGAAATCATTCAGTATGTTTGTCCTGATGGTTGAAATTGATACCCTCATTTACCCTCACTTTAGAGATATTATTTTAATTGATTTTCTATCCTAAGATCTTTAAGAAATTGCTTAGTAATTGATTCCACAAGAAAGTAAAACTTTTCTAACATTCAAATGAACAGAAAAGATTACTTAACATATAGATAATATTATCTGACCATATAAGAAGTATTATTGCAAGTATTTGGGCCTCCTTGAATTGTCTCTTTTAAGTATTGTTCATATATCAACTGTTAGGATAAAACAAACACACACATAGTACATATACACATACACACTATATATGTTTATATATATATATAAATAAAATGTATATGCATGTACATAAGTAATTTTATAATTTGAGTTGGTATGTTAAAACTTTTAATGTGGACATTTTCAATCATATATAAAATTAGAGAAAATAGCATAATGAACTCCTATGTACTCTTTACTCAGCTTAAACAGTTAACAACATTTCTGAGCCGAAGCTTTTAAGAAGCAGTTTTGGAAAATAAAAGACTATGGTCTAATCATACCGTAAAAAATAACTAGTGGTAGCATCTAAAAGTTAGAGTATCCTTAAGTATCACACTTATTCTTAGTTTGCTATTTGCTTTTATTTCTCCTCTAAACCCTCCTTAGAGAACAAGCAAGAAACCAAAATTCGATGTATATGCGTCAGCTCAGTGACCTGGAATCTACTGTTTCTCAGCTACGTTCTGAATTAAGGGAAGCCAAAAGGATGTATGAAGACAAAGTGAGTTTAGATTTTGCTGTTCTCCTTCCAGAGATTTTTTTTTTTTTTTTTTTTTTTTAAAGATGACCGGTAAGGGGATCTCAACCCTTGGCTTGGTGTTGTCAGCACCACGCTCAGCCAGTGAGCAAACCGGCCATCCCTATATAGGATCCGAACCCGCAGCCTTGGTGTTATCAGCACCGCACTCTCCCGAGTGAGCCACGGGCCGGCCCCAGAGATTTTTATATACAGAGTCAATTTTATATTTTTAAATAGTTTATTTGAAAATGAGGAATCAAAGTAGTAATTTCAAATTAAAAGCAGTTGATAAGCTGGAATGGGAGGATGCTAAATTATCTATATGTTAAATTATACATAAACAATTTTTATTTAAATTGTATGCTCAAATTAATTCATTCTTAGAAAAATATTTTGCATACTTCAAGTAAATTTCTAAAACATAAATTTGAAAGTAGGACCATCTTAATTATTTTTACAAGGCTTGTTTAGCAAATACTTCAGTACCATCTTGTCACTCCCTACCACTCAATATTTTGTGGGCCTACTTGCTCTCTTACTTCAGCTCCTAATTCTTAGCCATTGTATTGCTAGCAAACTGAATTAACTTTAAGATTAACTTATTAATTTAATTAAAGAAAAATTAATTCAGAAAATGTCTTCATCTCTCATCATGTAATTCCTCTTAAAAAACATATTAATTAATATTTGGTATGCTATTGTTTTTATTCTTTCACTTTCCATAGCTAAAGAGAAGCTATTCAGTATCATTATCAACCATTTATCCAGGGCTTAGGTTTTTGTTAATTTCAATCACTTGTAAAACAGTAAAGACCCTAAAGAAACAAGCAAATTGTTGCCATTCAGAGCTCATGTTCTTCATTTCCTGTGAGATGGGTGACATACATTGCCATTTGCCTGGGACATTCTCAGTTTATACCTGTATCCCAGCGTCCTGTTTTGTGAATGCTACTGTTCACCTCCAAAGTTTCCTTGTTTGGAAGATAAATTCTGTATTTAGTCATCCTACATGTAAAAGATCTTAGATAGTCATTCGGACACAACTTAGGTACAGTTCTAAACCTTGCTTTTAGTCAATTTCTCACGATTTAGCAATTTGGAGCAGTAAGTTAGAAGAAATAAAGTATAAGGAGACTGCCTTTATAAAGACAGAGACTCCTTTTTAAAAATGAAGCCAATTCCATAGGGTAGCAGTACAGAGGAAAAAGCTCCATATGGGAAGAATTGAGTATTGCAGCACTAATTCTTCCCAGTATTTGCTCTCCTCTGGGCACCCCCTATTTTAATTACCACTGTCATTCCAGTGCTGGCCACAGGAGGGAGGTGTTTCTCCTCGGTTCAAGCATGAAACAAGACCTCGACCTTTTTTTTTTTATCTCCTGTGGCACAGATAAGGATGGAAAATTTAGACATAACTTTACTAAGAATAAGCAATAAAGAATAGCATGAATCTGTGTAACCTCAGTTACAGGTTTGAGTCCTTTACAGCAGTGTTTTTCAAATAGTTTTGATTATTAAGAAGTATAGCTCACCTTATGATCTAATACACACGTACAACTGAAGCAAGTTTCACCAAACAGTATTTACCCCTATTACACATGAGGCTGGCTATTTTATGTTCTCATCGGATACTGATTTGAAGCTTACTAAATTGATTTCATGATTCACTGGTGGGTCGCAGTGTGAATAACAATGCCCCCTCTGTAAACCCACTTGCATAGATAGCTCTTAGCCTAAATTCTTGTTGCAAGGTCATTTTAACCACTGCCACCTCGAGCAACCTCAAGGGAACTTACTTAGACTGCTTAATGGCTAGACTCAAAAAACAAAAGCCCAGAGACCTTTTGCTCTTTTCTTCCTTTATAAGGCCTGATTTTTGTGTTCTAGTTTATTTTCTGAGGATGAGTGTTTCCCCTGGTTATTGATAGCAGGAATGTCCCCCATTCTGGGTAGACTATGCCTACACAAAAGATCATGACCTCGCCCTATAGAGAACAGCAGGGTGGTCATGATTTCAGTGCACCCTGAGGTGGGAGGATGCATTATTAGTTACTTGGGTCTAGTGGAGGTAGGCACACTGGTAGAAGTGAGAGCTGACACTCGGACAGTGATAGAGGAAATAATAGAGCTGTAGTATTACAGTCCAATACAATAACTGATATTCATGACTAATTACTCAAATCATTTTTATAAGGTTAAACATTTGTTGATTTTTGACAAATTAAGCCCTCTGAAAAGCCATAAAATAGTAAATAAAACTCAACTCACTGTGTTTTCTCAAATAATTTGTAATTGTTGTAGCTTCCATTATACTGTTGTTCGGAAAAATTATCCCTTCATAAGCCTCACCCATCGTGTGCTAACTTGTGTTTGGTCTGATATGTAGCATCATGCTTATCAACTCTAAAGCTGGGATTGACGAGAAATTTTAACAAATACTGAAATACCCATCTAAAGAATACAGAAACAGTTTTTGAGTTTTTATAAACATTTTTCTCTTTGGCATTTAGAAACAAGCATCCAGGTGAATAACTGAAAGCTTTTTATATGAATGTTTGGGGGTCATATAGATACAAACCTGATATTGTAATTATTGTCTTATTTTTCTGTGATGTAAACAGTGGATCACCAAGAATTTCGACAATCTTAAATAGTAAACAGTTTATAGAAATAAGGAGTGCATATGAGTTTAATTAATTTTAATCTAGATCACTGAGATTTATAATACAGCATAGTGAACCTAATAAGGTTGGCACCTAATTGATGGCTAACTAGGCTCTCTTAATAGTAACTCTCTTTAGTTTAGTCAGGGAACACTGAGAGATGACTATCTTGCCATGTTAATATAGACTGAAATATACTTTCACCTGAAATGGCATTAATACATGGTGTAGCTGAGCAAGGAAGATCAAGCAAGTTAACAAAAGAATTTTGTTTTGGTGTCATGAAAAATTCTATTGTTGTGAAATGTTTTTATTGTAATGAATTGAAAATAGCATTTAAAAAACAAATTCTTCTGCTTAATTTCTTTTATTTTTATATACCTTGACTTTATATTGCTAAAGTCTGTTAAAACTTTAACATCTATTTTCTTTTCACTGCTTCAGTGCACATTTTAGAATATACTGTCCAAATAACAAGGAAAAAAAGCACCAAAGAAAATAATACATAAAAACTGAGATTAAAAGTGAGATTTCTGTAAAAATAAACTTTTAAGGATGCGTTGATATTACACTGAAGGGCAGTATTAGTATTTTCTCCCAAGGTTAGATTCCTTTATAAAAAAAAGTGTTTGTTATTTTAAAAAATTGATGCCATGACAGGTCTGAATAAAACTTGTCCAACAAGAATGTGTAAGTTAAGAGAAAACTCATTTAGGAGGGTAATGTTTTTCTTCTGATTAACAAAAGTATTTTTATATTGGTAAAAATAGAAATTATGTTTCAGAGAATATTTTAGATGTAACTTGGTAGCTTACAAAAGTGTTTTACTGTAATGCTGTTTTCTGTTCTTCTCTTTCCATTTTAGGAGAACCTCCAGAATTCCCCTTTACGAATTTGGACCAGTAGAAGCTGTCACTATTGGCTCTGTAGATTTGGCTTTACTCTTAACTTTCGCTTTTTGATGACAAAACTATCTCATGAACTTGATTCTACATTTATTTTTCCTACTTGGAAAGCAGTTGGGGCTGAATTCATACTCAAAAAGTGAAGAGTTAGTAGCACTGGCTGGAGGTATATACTGTGCAGGAAGATTCTGTGCAAACCTCTTTGCATAGTTCTGCCATTGAACTCCATGCTGACCTGCAGCTTCCCTTGTTATCCTGTATCTGTGTCTTTTTGAACATGGAAAGAACAAAAAAATCACCACCAAAAAAACCAAAAACAAAAACAAAAAAGTATGATTTGATATGATTGGTAATATCTCTAAAATCAAAGCGAGATTAAAATGAGATCCAAGTACTCATTTGTCCAGTGATTCAAAACAAAAAATGGATTAATAGATGGTGAAAGGAAAAACCAGTGCTGCTATCTAAAAAAGAAAAGAAAAAGAAAAAACCTTTACTATATCTCAGATGTCAGTATCTATTCTGGACATTTTCAAAGGCTTTTCTTTATAATGTTTTTTACAGCTGTTTGTATCAGCTCAGCTGCTACTTCAATGGTTTTCCCTTTCACTCTCCATTTATCTTTTTGATTGATTAATTAATGTAAATGTTTTTATTCTAAAAAGTGAAAGGTAAAAGCAGAGCTATAGCAGCTGAGTCAGTACTGACAACTACAAAACAATGTTCCTGCAGGGGTCTGGAGGAACTTCTGATACTTAATAAATGGGAAGATACATCTTGGCTCTTTCTTTTCTTTTTCTTTCTTTTTTTAAATTTTGGTCTCGTAGATTTTACCATCAAGTTTGATGTTATGAAATGGTCATCCAGAATATTTTCAAAAGTGAAAACAGACATAAGAGAGCAATTTTTTTTTTTTTTTTTTTGGCGATTGGCCAGGGATACAAACCCTTGATCTTGATGTTATCAACCCTGCACTCTAACCAACTGAGCTAACCAGCCAGCCCTGCAGATCTTTTTTTAAGCTTTTAAAGCATAAATACAAATACTTTCTTTATTCAAGGATAAAAATGGTTTAGGCCAGGCTAGGAGTATAAAATGTTTATTTTAGTCATATTATTGACTCAAATTGAAAGTATTCTTGTTAAATTTTTAGTATAGCTCAAAAGACAAGTGGAAAATATAGAAGTTTAGCTTAATTAATACTGTTCTTTTCATGTAAAGAAATATTAGAAACAGAATTGAAAGGAACATGAGAGATCATCTAGAATACTCTTCAAATTATAGATTAAAAATAATTGAGACGGGCCGGCCCGGTGGCGCACTGGAGAGTGCGCCGCTTGGGAGCGCGGTGGCGCTCCCGCCAAGGGTTCGGATCCCATGTGGAGACCGGTTCCCGCTCACTGGCTGAGCGCGGTGCGGGCGCAACACCGAGGGTTGCGATCCCGTTGCCGGTCCCCAGTACAGGCACGACACCGAGTGTTGCGATCCCGTTACCGGTCAGTAAAAAAAAAAAAATAATAATAATAATAATTGAGACTCAGATAGGTTATGTGACAGAACCTGCATGAGAACCTAAGGTGCTGGCCTGATCGTACTGCCTCTCTGATCACGCGCATCTGCCTGTCTCTGTCAGGCAGATGTGATAACTGTGTAACAGTAATCCCTTGTGGTTCTTCTCCTAAGCATTCTTAATGTCTTTACGAATGGTGTGCTGAATGAGCCTTTCCTGATAAAAATAGAACTGAAGAAATTATATCAACTGAATTGTTCATTCATTTTTCTTAGGAAGTTACTTGTGCTACAGAAGTTAAATTTTTATGGGGCTTTTTTTCTATATGTCCCAAAAGGAGCACAAGAGTAAAAGTACTTCCTTGTAGGTTTATTAGAGCCTAGGAATACATTTCAGTCAGTAACCTAAATATTTTATGAGTATCTAATTCTTGTGAAATACTTTTTTATACATAACATACAATCAAATAAAAAGTTACTTAAAATATATCCAATATAAATATTGAAACCTATATTCTGATCCCTGTAGGTTGTGCTACTACTCTATAGGTTAACACGAAACTGTTTGATAGTCCTATATTAGTACTTTCTTAAGTAATATATGTATGTGTGTATAACTTCTGCATATTCATGCTTATCATTTATTAAAGAGATAGTTGCATATAAACATGTGTATATATAATATGATTATTGAATATGTAGTGAATTAATACATGAAGATCTGAAATGAACCTAGTCCAGGTAAAAATAAACTAGAAAGTCATCAAGAAAAAATTAGCCTTGGTCATATGTTTTCTAATTAAAAAGGCTTAATCAAAGTACATCATCTAACCAACTTTTATTCTTGACATAGTAGATTTGGAAGCCTATTAAATAGATTCTTAAAAGTAAGAAAGAATATGTAGCATTTATGCAGATATGAAAAATTTCTTATTACTGAAAAGTGGGTGATAAAATAGTATTTAAAAACAACCTTTGAAGATCAGGTATCACTATTATAATGCTAAATATTATGTTCTCATTATTTTAATATGTCACTATCTAAGTTATGATATTGTGTGGCTCAGCTAAAGTCCAGTCCTTTAGCCTCCATAGTCTAAGATCTTTAGCCTTTTAGCCTCCGCTGCACTGAGAGGAACACTGTCAACAGTGATGGGCTTTATGGCCTGCGTCATAGACATGCGTATTCAGTCAGATCAAATAGCTGCCCTGTGAGAGAAAAATACACTTATAACAGTCCTTTAAAATTGGACTCTTATCTCCATTTGATAGTTGAAGAAAATGAAGATTGGAATGGTTAAATAAATTGTCCAACTATAAATATAAAATATATATATATATATATATATATACACACACATAAGTTTACTTATCCTTTCCTAAATGTAGTGACTATTCTTTTATATTCAATACCTTTTATTATTGAAACTGATATTCTGAAACAAAATAGCTCTTCCAAGTATAATTCAGTTCATTTGTGTAGGCTCTGCAGCATGTTATTTATGCCACATCAGGCTTCCTTAAATACTAAATTACAGGACATATATTTGCAGAAGATAAATCTTGAATAGTATGAAAATAAGACAGAAATGTATTACAGACAATCCCTAAACCCAACAGTACCAAATATTTCATTTTGGCGAATTTCCCTGGCCAAATTCTATACAGATCTTAAGTTTAAAAAACTGCAAAACTTATCACAATAAACTTTTATTTTTGTCCCCCCCAAAATGCCATTTGGTTTCCAGAGACTATATTTATCTTATATTGCTCCCTGACATAATCCCTGACTCTGTTTGATTTGTGCTTTTCTTTTAGATAGAAGAGTTGGAGAAGCAGTTAGTCCTTGCTAACTCCGAGCTAACTGAAGCACGGACGGAGCGTGATCAGTTCAGTCAGGAATCTGGAAATTTGGACGATCAACTTCAAAAGCTATTGGTAAGATTATGCTCTAAAATATGAACGAGATTAATTCTGGGAAGGTTTTCACCAAAACATTTCAAAAAATTAGTTTCCTTTATGAAATTACAAATTTTACAAAATATTTGTGCATGCACACAAGTTTTACCTATAGAATAAAATATTTTGTATACTTTTTTTTTCTTAAGCAGAGCTGTTAACGGTGTTAGGTAAAGGGGATCTTCAAACAGTCATAATCTTTCAATTAAATACCCTATTCTACTAAATTGAAGTAGTGCTAAGTGTTCATTTGAAAGCCAAATAACATTCAAAACACAAATTATGTATATAGAATTTTTGAATGGAAGTTTAGGTGAAATTTTTAAAAAAGGAAAAGACAATAGGATTGTGATAACACTGAAACAGCCTCTGTTTTCTGTTAGAGGTACTACAGGCTGAGAAATTTAGGGAGGAAAATGTTTGGTACCCCTTTGTGTGATATTAATGATACAGTAGAATACATTTCTCTCCCTACGAGACCCAGCTCTAGGATATGATGCTCTTTGGTGATAAGGCCATCCCTTGTAGCTGACAAGGGTCTGATGAGCTGTGGTAAAGTTGGAACTGACAGCTGTGTATGAGAAGCTCTAAACCTTGGGATGATCCTTCACTTCTTTCTGGAGCCTTCTGAGTATTTCCTAGCATTCTCATATCCAATTTGAAAATCTTGGAGTCTAAAAGGTCCTCAAACCTGTCCCCCCTTTTCATTCTTACCACTACTGCTCTCTTGTTCAAGCCCCTCATTGCCCCTCACCTGGAGCATGGCTGTCCTCTCCTTACCAGTGTTCCTAACTGGTTTCTCCCCTCTTCACTCCTTCTTGTAAAGTGCTGCCATAATCATCTTTCTAAAATAAATCTTTGCATCATTCTTTCACTCAAAAATTTCTTTCCCCATAAGGTCAGAATCCCTCCCTCTCAAGACTGTTCCTGATCCAGCGCCTGCTTACCTTTCTAATCCTTTCTTTTCTCTACTTGTACCCAATACATTCCTCACCTCTTTTAGGCTGATCTACACAAAAGAGAGAAGGAGCTTAGTCTGGAGAAGGAGCAGAATAAACGTCTGTGGGACCGAGACACAGGCAACAGCATTACCATTGACCACCTGCGGCGGGAGCTGGATGACCGGAACATGGAGGTGCAGCGCCTGGAAGCCCTGCTCAAAGCCATGAAAAGCGAGTGTCAGGGCCAGATGGAGCGGCAGGTCAGAGCACACACACAGACTGTGCTGTCGGCACATGGTTTCTTTTGGGGGGAAATGTATTTTATGTCTTATTGGTAAAGTTTTTGCTTTTGGTTTTTTAATGTATATGGGCCTAAAATAACTCTAAAATAGGGCTATGGATTCTGTTAGCAATTTGTAAAAATGTATTATTTATTTCTATATTCTTGACCATTCATTAAACTGAAAGTATTAAGCTTTATCTCATTTGTAACATTGTTGAAAAACTAAACTCATATTCAGCTGCATTTTTGTTTTCACCTAGAAATTGGTAACCTAATAATTGCTTATTTCTGCTGCAGAAAAGCACCAGACCATCAGGAAATCTGAGGAGCAGTGGGGTCGAAGGTTACCAACAGATTTTTTGTTTGTTTTTGTTTCTCCCCCAAAAGAGATTTTACCCTTCCTCCTCCCCCACTGATGGAGACTGATGCGTGCACTCCATTCCAGTGCACCAGTAGCAATATGTGAACTGCTTTCTTAATAGCAGTGTACCTTCAATGCTGGAAGGACATGGTTCTAATCTGAGTTACTGCTACAGAGACATACAGAGCATCACACAAAAGTCTCCTCAAAATGAAAGCAAATCAAAGGGTCCAGTCTTGGCTTAGACCCAGGCAAAGCCATTTCCCTATTCTCTGGCCTAACTTGGACAGGAAAAAAGATAAAAGAAGCAACTGGAAGCTAGAGTCTTACTCTTCCAGTTGGACCAGAGGATGTGAATGTGTATTGGATAAAAGTCATTATTCATTTTTCCCTCAGAGGTAGAATTATGTGGAAGGTTGGAGGGAAATAGAAAATAAGTGCATAGTGCTGGCCGGTTAGTTCAGCTGGTTAGAGCACGGTGGTGTTAACACCAAGGTTAAGGGTTCAGATCTGCATACCAGCCAGCTGCCAAAAAAGAAAAAGAAAAGAAAAGAGAGGTAGTTATCATCAATCCTACCACCCTTCCCCCCACATCAGTGTTATCTTAATCTAAATTGGTACAGTCCTCAAAAGAACTTCCCAAATTCCCCCCTCTAGAAAACCATTATTGTTTAATTAAGGCCTCTCCACCTTTGTCTAATTAGCACATTGGTCTTACCCATGCTTTCTATCAATCTGGAGTTCTTCTGACAGCATAGTGATTTGAGTTACTCTAACTAGACATTATCCAATTCATGATTTCATGTTTTTGAGTTAACTTGTTATATCTCTTGAGGTTGCCTATACCTATCCTCCCAAATTCATGAAATTCTCTTTCACAATCAGATGGCAGCAATTCAGGGAAAGAATGAAAGTCTAGAAAAAGTGTCTTCCTTGACTGCTCAGCTTGAATCCACTAAAGAGATGCTCCGCAAAGTAGTAGAAGAGTTGACAGCCAAGAAAATGACCCTGGAGAGCTCAGAGAGGACAGTATCAGACCTGACATCTTCTCTCCAAGAAAAAGAGAGAGCCATTGAGGCTACCAATGCAGAGATCACAAAGCTCCGCTCCCGGGTAGACTTGAAATTGCAGGAGCTGCAACACTTGAAAAATGAAGGGGATCACCTTAGAAATGTGCAGACAGAATGTGAGGCCCTCAAACTACAGATGGCGGAAAAAGACAAGGTGATCGAAATTTTGCGACAGCAGATTGAAAACATGACGCAGTTGGTTGGCCAGCATGGACGAACTGCTGGTGCTATGCAAGTAGAAAAAGCTCAACTTGAGAAGGAAATTAATGATAGGAGACTGGAACTACAGGAATTTAAGGTTTGTAGAGTTTTTTGGCGGTTTAACTTTTGAAATATCTTTTCTCCCGTAAGCAAGTATGATCTAATTTATAGAAAAGGGGTTTTTGGTGTCTGCAGACCCTCTGAAATTGAAAGTGTTTGTGTCTATGTGCATATGTGTGTTTTTGTAAAAAAGGATTTATGCTTTTTTCAGATTCCAAAAAGAGTAGATGGTCTAAAAAAGGTTCAGAATCCAGGTACAAAGAAAAAATCAGAATATCCACCTTCCGTATGAAGTCTTTCCTGATCCCACAGTTTAAAGCATATTCTTCCTCTTTAGACAGACCCACATTTTAAACCCATGTCTCACCACTCAATAACTGTAAAACATTGACTGTTTGCTCAATCTTGGCTTCTGTGTCAGTTAAAACAATACCAAACAACAAACAACAAAAACAAAACCCCCAAATGCCTTATTGGATTACTATGAGGCATAAATCAGAAAATTTCTATCAAGGACTTAGCCTAGTTCCTGGCCTATACAAGATGTTTAGTAAATATTAGTTTCTTCCCCCCATTCTGTTCCATCCTTCTGAACTTTATTATACTATATTTGTACCTGTTAAAACCTGGATCACATTTTGTATTGATTGCACTGTGTGTGTGTCTTTTTCTCTATGAGACTACAGACTAATTTAAGCAGGGTACACACATCTTATTAATCTTTGTACCCCCTACTCCATGTCTTTGCGCTTTGCACCCGGAAGCTGCTAAGTAAGTACTTATCAAAATTTAAAATGGTTGAATGAATTTTTTAAAACTTTGATTTTTTAAGCTTTATGTCACTCATGTCTCTGACTTGGTGAGTAATAAGAGACAAATCATATAAACTTTAGATGATTGAATCAGGGTAATTGGCATATTCATCATTGCAGAAATTTATCATTTCTTTGTGATGAGAGCATTTGAGATCCTCTCTTCCAGCCAATTGAGAACATACAATAAATTATTGTTAATTATACATGCCTAGCACTACTGTAAACCATTTGAACTTATTTGTCCTATCTAGCTGTGTTTTTGTATCCATTAACCAATCTCCCTCTATCCCAACCCCCCACTCCTAGCCTCTGTAACCACAATTCAACTCTCTACTTCTATAAACTCAACTTTGCCTCAGTTTCCTCATTCTGAAAATAGGGGCCAGAAATAGATTATTATCTGCCTTCTAAATAAACAGGTTTATTGCATAAAACTTTAGAGTTTTCTATTTAGTGGACAAACTTACTATGAAAGGGACATATAAAGGTTTCTCATAGCCATCCCTACAATGAAAACTTTAGGTTTGCATGCAGAGAAGAAAATGTTAGAGGAGAATAAATGATTATTCCACCTTCTTGCCTAAGAAGATGGATTGCTAGTGTTGTTAAGGGAACAACTGGGAGAATCCTACTGAGTCATATACTCTAAAATTTAAATCAGTTTAATGCTCACAAAAACCTTATGAGGAAGGCACTATTTTTTAATCATTTTACAGATGAGAAAACCGAGACACAGAGAGATTAAATAACTTTCCAGAAAGCAGCACTGCCTTGGCATTTGATCCTAGGCAGTATATAGTTGATATTACTATGCAGTGGTTCTCAGTGAGAACAAGAGTCACCTAGAGGGCTTGTGAACATGCAGACTGCTGGGCTCCAGCGCCTGAGTTTCTGATTCAGTAGGTCTAGAATGGGGCCTGAGACTTGGTGTTTCTGAACAAGTTCCCAGATGATGCTGGTCCCAAGTGCATACGTGTGTTAGAGTACCTCAGAGGAGTGTGGACCAGTGTGACTAGAGAGGCTAATGAAGCCTTCAGAGAGAGGTGGGAACTTGAAATTGGCAAAAACTAGGCAGAGAGGAGGAAGGAAAACATTCAAGGCAAGGGGGAAAGCACAGTCTATAGTTTAGCCTAGAGATGGGTTGGGAGTATTAAAAGTTTAGGGGTAGACAGGAGGGGGTGACACAAAAAGGGCAATGTTGGAAGTAGATTAATCTGGCATTAGTACACTAAAGTGGATGGGAAAGGGTAAAACTAATTTTCAGTTCACAAACATGGAGCTGAAGCAGCTTCAGGGAAAGATTTCTTAAGTGAGAAGAGTTTCACACAGACACAAAGAACATACGAAACTTGGGCTTTAATGCCACATCCACTTTTCTCCACAGTCCCATGAGGAAATAAGGAGAGGAGTCATAGCCCTAGGAGATATGGTTTCTCTCCTGGTTTTTCTCACCTCTTCAGGCTGAGTACTACACATTGACAGTGGAGAAACTAAGGGTCCTCAAAGTTGGGCCTCTTGTATAAGACTAAGAAAGGACTAAATGGCCATCTAGTCCAAAGAGATAGAGCAAGAGTGGTATATGCCCAGTACATGTTGTGATGCCTCAGACTATTCCAGAGAAAGCCCTCCCCCTCACTTGCCCCATGAGGCCAGCTGGGTTTAGCATGACAGTTATCAGGAGTGGCTAGGCAGACATCAGATAGCTGAGTTCAGGGCCTTTACTGTCCAAGCCCATCATGGGTGGGCAGTGAGACAAGCCTGGAGCTCCCCACCTGTCCTTTTTGAAACAGATAAAAGTTTGTCAAATGTTTACGTTTCAAATATAGCATTGGCCTCTATCTTTAAATTGCTGTTATAACATTAAAATTTAATTGGCTACTATTATATTTAAGGCCAATAGGCCTTAATTTGGGAGACATTCTGATGATCAAAGAAAGTAAATTTCTTTTCAAATGGTATTTACCTAGAAGGGTCTAGACCAGTTCTGTTCACTAGAAATATAACGTGAGACACATATGTAATTTTAAATTTTCTAGTAGACACATAAAAAGAAACATGTGAAATTAATTTTAATAACATTTTATTTGACTCAATATATCCAAAATATGGTGATTTTAAATTTTGTAATCAATATAACATTATTGAAATACTTTACATTCTTTTTTTTTATACAAAGTCTTTGAAATTCTGTGGGTATTCTACACTGAAAGCACATCTCAACTTAGATTAGCCACATTTCAAGTGCTCAGTAGTTACATGTGGTTACTGTGCACCACAGACCTAGGCTCTGGGAAGAGAAGGATTCGCCCTGGGAAGAGAAGGGTTCCTCCTGGGAAGCCTTACCAACACAGATAGAGACTAGTTATGAAGAAATTGTGGTAATCCATATGAGAAGTGACCACAACCCAGACTTGGAGGTTGGGCAGGAGTTGGTGAACAGCTGGTTAGGGAAAGAGAAAGACACAGCCAACTTCAAGGGTTCAAACTTAGACATCTGAGAGACTAGCAACATAATAGCACTTCCAACAGAGAGAAGCATCAGGAAGAGGTCAAGAGGAAAAGCCCTCTGTGAAAAAGGAATAGGAGTGCTTTGGTTGGAGTTTACAGAAGCATACCAACCTGGGAATTTCTGGCAGTTAGTTGGAAATACCAAATTAGAGTTGCCATATTCGTGTTCCCTACTGCAGTCAAAGGACCACATCCAGCCACTGTGAACCACCCTCGTCTAAGCTACCACCTCTCTCATTGGGTCTTCTAGTTGTCTACTCACTGGTCTCCATGCTTCTTACTCCTTCCCCCGCCACTGTTTATTCTTCACATAGGAGCCAGAGTTATGTTTTAAAACTTTACATTACATCATTCCCATGCTCAAAACTGTCCAATGACTTCTTATCTCACTCAGAATGAAGTCTCAAGTCCTTACATGGCCTTAAAGCCAACTTGGTCTTGCCCTCTCTGACTTCATATCCGACTTTGCTCCAAGCTCACTCCACTGCAGCCACACTGATAGCCTTGCTGCTCCTCAGACACATTTCCTGTACCCAGAGCTCTTCCCCAGTTATCCATGTGGCTTGCTCCTTTATCTCCTTGAGGTTTCTGCTCAAATGTTACCTCACTGGAGAGACCTTTCCTGACCAACTGTGTCAGGGTCCCAAGACAAACCCCAGGTTTGATGATTCTCTTGGAGGACTCACGGGACTCAGCATATCATCATACTCATGGTTAATATTCATTACAGCAAAAGGATACAAAGCAAAATCAGCAAAGGGAAAAGACTCATGGGGCAAAGTCCAGAGAAAACCAGGCACAAGCTTCCAAGAGTCATCTCCTAGCAGAGTTACACAGGACACTCTTAATTCCCCCAGCAAGAAATTATGACAATGCCTGCCAAAGTTGCCAACCAGAGAATCCCCTTAAAAACTCAGTACCCATGGGGGCCGGCCCGGTGGCGCACTGCTACAGTGCGCCGCTTGGGAGTGCGGTGGCACTCCTGCCGAGGGTTCGGATCCCACATACAGACCGGTTCCCACTCACTGGCTGAGCGAGGTGTGGGGGCAACACCAAGGGTTGCGATCCCGTTGCCGGTCCCGGTCCAGTATGGGCGCAACACTGAGGGTTGCGATCCGTTGCCGGACACGAAAAAAGACAAAAAGGAAAAAAAAAAAAAAACTCAGTACCCAGAAAAAAAAAAAGACTTAGTACTGGGGGTTTTTATATTGGAGGTTGGTCACATAGGCACTTCCTACTTGGCAGGTATATCCAGTTTCCAAGCTCCCAGAAGGAAAGCAGGTGTTCAGCATAAACCATACTGTTTACACAGTTTAGGCTCAGGGTATTAGTTAGGATAGTAGGAACCCTCCCCAACAACACCGAGGGTTGTGATCCCGTTGCCAGTCCCGGTCCGGTACGGGCGCAACACTGAGGGTTGCGATCCGTTGCCGGACACGAAAAAAGACAAAAAGGAAAAAAAAAAAAAAACTCAGTACCCAGAAAAAAAAAAAGACTTAGTACTGGGGGTTTTTATATTGGAGGTTGGTCACATAGGCACTTCCTACTTGGCAGGTATATCCAGTTTCCAAGCTCCCAGAAGGAAAGCAGGTGTTCAGCATAAACCATACTGTTTACACAGTTTAGGCTCAGGGTATTAGTTAGGATAGTAGGAACCCTCCCCAAATCCAAATTCCTAGACACCAGCCAAAGGCCAGCCTAGTAAGCAGGACTTTCTAACAACAGCAGTCAGACCTACTATGTTAAGTCTTTTCTGCACACCAACTTGTCTCAAGTAGCAACCCCACCCTTGCATTTATTCTGTGCCCCCTCACCTTTTTTTTATTATTGTAACTTTTCTTACCTGATATATTAAATATTTGTTTGTTGTCTGTCTCCTCTCACTAGAAGAGGACATGAGGCTAAAGATTTTGTTCATTTTGTTCACTGCTATCCAGGGCCAGGACTGGGGTAAAGTAAGAGAGGTGCCTAGGCTGACAGCACTCATCTAGATGCCTCACTCACTTTACCCTAGCCCAGCCCTGCTCCTCTATTCCCAACATGTAAAATAGTGCCTGCCACAAAGTAGATGCTCAAAACATATTTTTTAAATGAATGAATGTAAAATAGGAATAAAGAAGGGTTGTGCCAAGTGATACCTGGGAATTGACATTTAAGGTTAAAAGAAAGATGAAATATTCCTTCTTTTTCCTATTTACTATTGATGTTTTATAATAAAATATAAGTATAGTGTCCTGAAAAATAATGAGAAGATACTAAATACAGATCAAATACTAGTAATTGTATGACTAGTATTGTAACTCTATATGTACAGTTGTAACTCTATATGTACATATTTTTTATTTTGCTCTCTATCCTTTGTATTTATCCATATATTTAGATTTTAAAAGATAGAAAAGATGCAAAGATCCGGGAACTTGAAGCCAGAGTGAGTGACCTGGAGCTAGAAAAGGTGAAGCTAGTGAATGCAGGCTCTGAGCGGCTCCGTGCAGTGAAGGATATCAAACAAGAGAGAGATCACTTACTAAGTGAGGTGAAAGCTAGTAGGAGTGAATTAAACAGTCTTTCAGGTATGTTGCTTCAGTTCAAACTCTACTAAGACAGAAAAGGAGTGTTATCAGTGAAGCCCAGTGTGGACCCTAGCACAAATGCAAAGGAAGAGTGTTTCATCTCACATCACAAATATATTGTACCAGCCAGCTGCCCACCGCCCCCCCAAATATAGATAGATAGACAAATAGATAGTCATGCTGCCCCAGTGGAGTTATTCATGGCCTGAAGACCTCATTGTTCTCCATGAAGAGCTTCCACATCTATACTCACTGTTATCTTTAGTCAATCCCTAGAGTCCAGGAAATTCTGTACTGAGTTTCCCAGGAAGGGTGAAGTATTCAGATTTCAGGTTCCCAGAAGGAAAGCAGGTATTCAGCATAAATCGTATTGTTTGGACAAACATTTTTGTTTTTATGGAAGTGGAAACCTTGAGTCCTTTGAATCAAATAGCTTGATTAGAGGTTTAATAATAAAACAACATGTGTAAACGAATTTATTGAAAGGAAAAAGTCAATGCCTTACATTAAACAATGAAACACCCCAGTTCACAATTGATATGATGCAATATCATGTACTTTACCCCCCCCCACACACACACACAGCTAGTAATTACTGAGCATTTACTATGTCAGACACTCTGATAGAACCTAGAAACAACACAGTGAAATTCACAATCTAGAGGGGAGACAGACGTATATAGAAATGGGTTACAATACAGGGAATGAAGTACAGTGGAAGTGTGCTGGGTAGAAAGATAGCACAGAGGATAGAGAATTAGTCTCCTACAGAAGGTGACATTTATACTGAGTTTGAAAGAGGGAAATGAATTTGGCAGGTGAAAAAGATTAGAAGTTCCAGGCAGAGGGAACATTATGGGCAAAAGCATGAAAGCATGAAATAACATAATGTGATCTCAGATGTATTAGTTGGAGCAAAAGTATAAAGGAATGAGGACTAAGAAATGTTGCAGAATATACAGGTAGAGCCAGACAGTATGGAACCAACAAAGGATATTAGGAGATTGTTGTCATCAGATTTTAGAAGCACTGTGTTGGCAGGTATCTTATAGAAAAGCAAGGCTAAAGAGACAGAGATCAACCAGTTAAGGAGGATTTTGCAGTGATCCTAGGAAATATGATGAGGACTTGAACTAAGGAGTGGGAGTGAGAATGGAGGGAGAAGAAAGACTTAAAAATATTATTGGAGGTTGGATCAATAGGACTTAGTGATTGGAGGGGCTAAGTATAGGTTTCAGGTTTTTAGTTTGTGGTATTGGGAGAACAATGATAGCAACAGCTGGGAGAGGAAACCAGAAGGAGGGGTAGGCTCGAAGGCAGGAGGGTGAGATGTGGTCAGTGTGGGGCACTTGGCTTCAGGTGGTCCTGACATGTACGTGGAGACAGAGCTAAGTCTTTGTTCCTTTTACATATAAATCTATATCATATATAAATAGGTAAATATAAATAGACAGATTGATGAATGTGTGTGTCTGTGTATAGTCTAATATATCAAATGATGAGTTTGTGCCAGGTATTTTGATAAGTACTGGAGATAAAAAGTCAGATAAGACACATGGCAGCTTCAGGTTACTTCGAGTGTCACCCACATGCACATGGTGGTTAAATCTGTTATAATGGATATGGTCATCCAAGGAGAAAGTTTAAGATGACACAGAAAGAGTAAGACAGATCCCTGGAAATGTGTATGTACATCTCATTTCTGTAACAAATGATGATGTAACTGAATGAGTTCTCTTCCAGCTTGCTCTGAAATTCTGTGATCATTAATTACAAACAAAATATACTTTATAACAATGGGATAGAAAAAAGTAACCATCTATTATTGATTATCATATTGTATAGAGGACTATGAAGTCTTAAAAAGGAATTTTCGAAACAAAAGTGAAGAAATGGAAACTACTACAAATAAGCTGAAAATGCAATTAAAATCTGCACAGACTGAAGTAGAACAAACAAGAAATACGTTAAAGTCAATGGAAGGATCTGACGGTCATGGTATGCTCTATTAGATTAAAAAATTTTTCTTTTGTTTTTAATTCCATTGGTCTAGATTTATTAAAATACAAACCCAGATACATTGCCTACCACCTCTTCACAGTGCTAGATGATGTGATAAATATACAGCAACAGGTATTAATGATGAGTGTTGTGTAGCAGTAGTTCTACTTAATTTTTTTTTTATGGGAAATTGCCATGTGCTTAATTTAATTTCTAAAATATCTGAATCTTTCTTTTCCTGTGGCCATTTCAATAATTTCTAATAGATCTCAATGTCTGTAAATGTCAATTAATTATTTTTAAGGATATAAATACAGTTTACCAATAATTTTCATTCAACCCCTTATTTTTCACATGTGCATTATCTACATAAACTATAGATCAGTGGCTCATTGGCAGTTCTTGATTCCTTCCTAGTGGTAGAAATGGGAAGGAACTCTGGAAATTCAACTACTATCTGAGAGATCCCTTCTCACCACCTAGACCTATTCCCTTTTTACCTTGCTGCCCATACTAATGCAGGGAGATAGAAGATTATTGGCCATTCATGTTATTCATATCATTATGACTATATTAGCTGACTATAAGAATTAATATTTATCTAATTGAAGTATACGTTTTTTCATTTCTCAATTTTTTTTTAATGTCAGAAGATTTATTTTTGTGCTCACTTTGGCAGCACATAGACTAAAATTGAAATGATACAGAGAGGATTACTGTAGTCCCTGTGCAAGGATGACACAAATTCTTCAAGCATTCCGTATTTTGTGCAGTTCTTGGCAGTTTTGTTAACCCCTTTGTGGGTTAACACCAAAAAAACAGTGGGGTTTGGAGAGGTAACTCAAGAGGCCCCTTGGGTTTGCTCCCCCTTTACAAGATGCATCCCTGTCCCAATGCCCTCTGGGCATCTCCACAGCCACTCTAGTCATGTTACAATTATTGAGTTATCCAGGTAGTTCTTATATTCACATTCAAAAGCTTGTTTTCATTGATTAAAATCAGCTTAAAATAAAAAAAGATTTATTTGAGAATATTACCTTTGAAGGCTAACCATGATCCATGTAATTAACCAGAAGTTTACAAAGTGGTGAGCAAATGAAGTCAGATTTGTAATAAATACAGTAATAAAACAGTGTACTGTGCTTGTATTAACCTTGTTTCTGATGGTTTAGATATAAGAACTATATCTTATTAGTGAGATATCAGACCTTTCATTCTGTTAGTTTGTTTTTAATGAATGGTACATTTTCATTTTTCTTTTTAACCTCTAAGCTGTAGCCAGACCTGACACAAAGCAGTGCCATTTTCAAACCTCTTTTCTCAGCTGACTGTAAGAAAAAACATACAGTCTTCTGACTTTGAATTTCCAAGCAAAGATGAGCTATATATTTATTTCCAATGGCCTGCTGTGTCTTAAGTATTCAGTGCCTCATACCCATCTAGCAAATTCTCATTCTGTCATCAGTTTTCCAAAAATAATTACATATATGCTTATGCTGGCAATTTGACTACTGAGACAGTAGTAAGTTCCAGGCAAGTGTCAATAACCCTGAGAATAAAAACTGAATGGTTTGTGATATCACTGGAATCTTGAAAAAAGATTATTAATAGTAGCTGTCTTATATGATATTTTAAACATGAGTTTATGGAAAATCATTTTAGTAAAAATATAATATACATTATTTATATCTGTATATTTTTATATATTGTTTTCTATATGTGTAAGTATGTGTTTGGTCAATATTATTGTTACCATTGGAAATATGGCAACTTACAATAGTCAATGAAATTAATTCCAGTAGCAAAGAGACAATAAAACATCATTTTTTTTTTATATATATATATATATATATATATATATATTGCCCAGCTCAAAATCTCTAATAGTAGCTAAAAATTGTTATATCCCAGTCTTGTGAAACCTGAAGACTTTTTTCCATGATCTTTCCCTTGAAACTGCCAGGTGCCTTAGAAGATCTTACTTGTCACCTTCTCATAAATTTTAACCATCGAATTAACAGTCACATCTCAAAATTTAGGAACTTTAAAAACTAAGGTACAGTTTTCTTCCCCCAGCTATGAAAGTGGCAATGGGGATGCAAAAGCAGATCACAGCCAAAAGAGGTCAGATAGATGCCCTTCAGAGCAAGATACAGTTTTTGGAAGAGGCAATGACAAATTCAAATAAGGTGAGTCCCTGTCCTATGAGTGGGGAAAACCAACATATTCCCTCATTAATATACAAGACAGAATAAGACATAGCAGAAATTCAAGTGCAAAGGGAAAAGAGAAAAGCTTGTTTCTGACTGAGAAAATGAGGAAAAAGTTCCTGAAGGAACATGTGAGAAGGATCCTGAAAAATAGCTAGTATTTTAAATGCAGGAAACGAGCAAAAGGACATTCCTGGTCGAGGTAGGGAATGATTAAAAACAAAGTACAGTCAGTTCCTTTATAATGTGACATATGTGTTCCTAAAAATCATTGTGCTGTGCAAAATTGTGTAATAAACACCACAGGAGTTATGGAAACAATGGGGTTAGGAGTACCACACTAACAATTGCATCAGTGTATAGGTCTGTTTTTGTTGCTTATAACAAAATACCTGGAACTGGGTAATTTATAAAGAAAACGAAATTTATTGCTTACAGTTTCTGAGACTGGGAAGTCCAAAGTCCATCAGGTGGTGGCAACAGCGATCCAGGGGTCTCACATTGCTAGCTGCTGGAAGCAGAGAGAGAAGAGGGAGAGAGAAACTTTCATCTCCTTTTAATGCCCTCAGAACCACACCCCGACCAACACTTTAAATCCATTCACTATGGCATGGTCCTACAATCTAATCACCTCTTCAAGGCTCCACCTTTCAACTACCATAATAGGATTTCCCATCCTCTTAACAGTCACAGTAGGGACTAAGTTTCTGGTACATAAAACTTGGGGGACACAATTCAAGCTTCAAGGAGTTTTGGGGGGACATAATTCAATCTACTACAATCAATGACACATAAAAATAGGAACCTAATAAAAACAATGGCACAGTTTTACACATGTTAAATTGTTAAGAAATACATAAAGACTACAATAAATATGGCCCTTTATCTTGAAAAAGACCTGAAGTTTGCTGTGGCAGTGTGTGCAAAGGTTTGCAGCTTGTACCTTTTTGTGAAGGTGTGGAAGGAGAATGTCTTAGTCCATTTTCTGTTGCTTATAACAAAATACCTGAAACTGGGTCATTTATAAAGAAGCAAAATTTATTTCGTACAGTTCTAGAGGCTAGGAAATAGAGGTTGAGGGGCTGCATCTGGTAAGGGCCTTGTTGCTGGTGGGGACTCTGCAAAGTCCCAAGGTGGAACAAGGCATCACATGGCAAGGTGGCTGAGCATGCTAACTCAGGTCTTTCTTTTACCTCGTATAAAGCCACTAATGTTCTACACTCATGTCCTCATCTAATCCTAATTACCTCCCAAAGGTCCCATCTCTCAAATATCATAGTTATATCCACACCCCCTCCCCCTAAAACTGTTAGAATGGAGATTAAGCTTCAACATGAGTTTCAGAAGGGACAAACATTCAATCCGTAGCAAAGAGTTTTCTGTAACAGCAGATGTGGATGGATGTGGCTCATAACACAAGGTAAACTGAGGTAGCTGGCAGATAGGTGTTTGAGGAGTGTGCATGTATAATTTTTTTATATTCCTATGTAGCTCTGTTTAGCTAGTCGCAGTTTTCTGCACTGACCTTGTGTTTCTCATGAATGAAACTGGGCATAAAGAGATTTGCATCATGCTTAAATGTTCCCTAATATATCAGTTACTTTGGAACAAATTTGCATTTTCTATTTTCAAAAGAAGATTTATAACAGAACTGTCTATAAGGACAGTGAGAAAGTAAATGGTTTAAGTAGAAAATTATAAGTGCAACTAAAGTAATTGCTAGTTTACTATCCATAATGAGCTGCTGAAGTACTTTACAATGTGGCTAAATATTAACAAATACATGCATACATTTGTGCATACCTCTATTCATATGGACATACTTATTTCCTCTTTCTCTGTCCTTGCCCATTTTTTCTCCCCTCTTTTTATCTTATCCTGAATTTATTATTTACTTTTTCTCCTTCCATTGTTTGCCTTTGGGAACCTAAAGCAGTGCTTATCCTTCCATCTGATGGTATTTAGGGCTTTAAGAGGTTACTGCCTGCTATCAACAAAGATGCCTGCCCCACATAAAGGAAAGTATTCATCATAGCTTAATGTCATTCCCTCCAAACAGGAGAAATCCTGTAAAAGTAATCCATCTCTCTTCCTGACACCCTTTCTGCCCAACCTAATCAGAGAAGGAAAAATTATTTGCATAAAAACTGTGTATTACAGTGGTGATACCTTTACATTATTTGTATTAAATATTTTTTCACTATAAAAAATATTTAAAGAAATACAAATTCAGTAAACTGATGTTTATATGTTAACTTGACTATACATTTCTTATTTTTGTCTACCCATTCCATAGTGCTTTTTTAAAGGAATGAACTAATTTTAAGAAATTTTGTTTAATACCAAAGACTCTCTATTATAAGTATATCGATAAGTTCATTCTCGTCACTGGACTGTTAAGTGACTTGAGGGCAGGAACGATGTGTTTCATTTATTTTCATGTCACACTATCAGCAGTAGGTATTTGTGAAATGAATATTTAATCTTGAAACAAAATAGAAAGCCACAGAACTTTCAAATAAGTGCATCTTCTTTGAACCTCTTATGTCATTTAAAATAAATTTCAATAAAATTTGGTATGGGATTACTCAATCCCAATTCACCAAAACACTGTCTCTTTTTAATGACAAAATATTTTATATTTTGAAGATTTCATCAAAAATTTATCAAGCCTAGAAAGAAGTAATACTAATAGTGATGAAAATAAGAGTGAGTGCATAGTAACACAGTTCCTAATTCCAACTCAGAAGCAATTGAATGGCATATGAATTAAACTCATCTAGTTCAGGGTCCTTTAAATAAAAGTTTTATATTTACAGCACCTCTCTGCATCTACATCAGCAGATTATTTCTGGTATTTTTCTCCTCTATAACTGTAGGAGAAACATTTCCTAAAAGAAGAGAAGAGTAAACTCAGCCAGGAATTAAGTACTGTTGCAACAGAAAAAAACAAGATGGCCGGGGAACTGGAAGTTCTGAGATCTCAGGAACGCCGTTTGAAAGAAAAGGTTGCTAATATGGAAGTTGCTCTTGATAAGGTAGTTATTAACTAAATATGTAATTATTAACTAAATAGTTATTTTTTTTTCTTAATTTTATTTTGTCGATATACAATGAGGTTGATTATTGTGGCCCATTACCAAAACCCCCCTCCCTCCTCCCTCTCCTCCCTCCCACCCAATAATGTCCTTTCTGTTTGCTTGTTTTAACTAAATAGTTATTTTTTTTTCTTAATTTTATTTTGTCGATATACAATGAGGTTGATTATTGTGGCCCATTACCAAAACCCCCCTCCCTCCTCCCTCTCCTCCCTCCCACCCAATAATGTCCTTTCTGTTTGCTTGTTTTAACTAAATAGTTATTAATGAAATAGAATTGTTCTGAATAAAAGCACTTGAAGATAGGAACTGAATCCGTCAATTTGTATTGTATCCCAATCATCTAGCACAAAGAAAAACTATATCCTATGGAGAAGGTTCTTCTGAGTTTTAAAAACATAGTCATAATGCATACTGTTTGCCAAACTTTCCTTTTCAGGTTAACACAGTCAAAGGAGCAGTAAGATATAAGATGTAAAATGATCCTGATATCCTTAGTGGCCTGAAGAAGCACCTTTAGGAGCACCAACTTACCAACCAAGAATGACTTGGGCACTAAGTGGAATATAGTCTCTTAATAATGTCAATAAAATGGAAGAGTAATGCTAATATCTGGCACTTTGTAGAGTCCAGAAAGTGCAGGTAGAAAACACAGCTTAAAGAATGAGAAAAGATCAGTGATACTGTATTTGTCATTGCCATTTATTATTGAGGGATAAATCTCTTTTCCTGTCACCTAGAAACTCTGGAAGCCTAAAATTGTAACCAGTCTTTGATCCCTAAGAAATAAGAACCTTCGGGCCGGCCCGGTGGCGCACTGCTATAGTGCACCGCTTGGGAAGCGTGATGGCGCTCCCGCTGAGGGTTCGGATCCCACATACAGACCGGCCGCTCACTGGCTGAGCGAGGGGCGGGAGCAACACCGAGGGTTGCGATCCCGTGGCCAGTCCTGGTCCGGTATGGGCGCGACACTGAGGGTTGCGATCCGTTGCCAGGCACGATAAAAGACAAAAAGAAAAAAAAAAAAAAAAAAAGAAATAAGAACCTTCATGGTTCTAAAACAATCTGTGATCCCACCTTTGCTACCATGCTACCTTTGTTTCTTAAAACATGCTATATTGACTCAATGACTTTCAGTTGTGGTTATTTTAATATAATTAAAAAAAAAAAAAAAAAAAAAAAAAAGAAATAAGAACCTTCATGGTTCTAAAACAATCTGTGATCCCACCTTTGCTACCATGCTACCTTTGTTTCTTAAAACATGCTATATTGACTCAATGACTTTCAGTTGTGGTTATTTTAATATAATTTTTTATACTTTGCTAAAGCTGTTTGCTCACTCCATTCTTAATTCATTTGTTCTTTTGAGTGTTCTCCACAAACTAAATATTGTGTATGTGGGGGGATACAGACAATAAAGACATGGCCTTCATTTGCTCTCAGTTTACTGAATAAAAGATATAGGACATGGTAATATAATGTGCTAGGAGTAGGGGAAGTTTCCTTGGCAGCTCTGCATTTAAAGATTAATAAAATAAAAATTCATAAATGGAGGATAAACCATTTCTGTTTGGTTGGATTGTAGGCATCCTTGCAGTTTGCAGAATGTCAAGATATAATACAGCGTCAGGAGCAAGAATCTGTGCGCCTAAAACTTCAACACACTTTGGATGTAAAAGTAAGGGGTTTTTTTTGCATCATAATAGTAGTTTAAGCAAGAATAATGCCTTCGTTTGCTAAGCTTTTATATTTTCTTCAAATTGCTGTACCACATTTATTTCTAGTTTACAATAAGTGAAACACAAACAAGTTTCACAGGTACCTGCTTTGGGGATACCCAAGGGAAGAGTTTTCCACATGCTGGAGTCGAACAAGTAAAAAGAACCAAAGTACAAGTGTGTTTGTCCTGTTTGGGAAATAACAAAAGTGATGTAATCTACAAAAACAAAAATGTGTATTTTAAAAATAGTACACTTTCCACTGAAATATATGTCTACTTTCAGAAGCATACTTTATATTTGCAGACATGTTTTAAAGTCTCAGTAATGGATTTTGCCACAGTTGGCAGTTATTTTGCCCACATCTATATTGTTTTCCAGGAACTTCAGGGCCCTGGATACACCTCAAATTCTTCAGTGAAATCACGTCTTCAACCATCATCTGCTGCCCGTTCTCATTCTAATATACCATCTTCCCAGTCTACTGCCAGCTTCCTGTCTCATGTAAGTAACTAGTCTTATAACCTATGATGCAAATGATATAATACATAAATAATTTTAAATTGGGAAGAATTGCACTAAAAAATAACATATATTAAAGTTATAGTGTTTTAAATTACTAGATTTTAGGCCGGCTGGTCAGCTCAGTTGATTGGAGCACGATGTATCAATCACCAAGGTGAAGTATATGGATCCCCATAGCTGCTAGCTGCCAAAAAATAACAATAATAAAATAAAGCATATTACCAGATTTTAGATTGATACATCTTCCTATAAATCCAGTGGAGTCCAATGAATGAAAATATTTTCTTCACTACTTGCTGTTTTCTCTGGGGAAAAGAAAAATGAAATATTTTGTTATGAAATGAAATTAAATATTTGTGGGATTAATGTTAACAATAATTGTTAAAGTAAATTACTTAATGGCTTTATATTCTATTCTTTGGTTATTTCTATCACAAGCATTTGCAGATTACAAAGCAAATGGTGAGATAGCTAAAATAGACATCACTTCGAATGCCAAACACAAGTTGGTGGTATATTTAATACTCTACCAAGATGAAAATTATTTGCTGTGTGTTGTTCTTCATGAACTTATTTATAATCACAAATATTTTATTAATCATAAAACATTTTTATTCCCTTTAATGAAAATGTTAGAAACTTTGGAAAATGGTTAGCTTAACCTTTGATACTATTAAAGCTCAGGAAAAAATATGTGCAATTTAAATTCAGGCTTCATCTCCTCTCTTGCAACCATTATTCTGCTCTAACTATAAAAAAATGGAACATTCCATAAATCACTTTCATCAGTTAAAAATTCTACTAGTTATTTCACCTGTACTATTTAAATAACAATTATGTACTATTGAAATGACTAAAAGTTGAAGTGGACTTCTCTTGCACACTTAAGATGGGAGCACTGAAAAATAATCTCACACAACAAATAATAGCATATTCTGTCAAGTAGTAGAATAATATTAATATCATTCTCTCTGGAGACTGGAATTCAGAGATGGGCAGAGGAAGGGCTGGAGACTGCTACTGTTTAAGTGTTATAAAATTATTTTACTTTAAAAAATATGTATATGTTATGGTGATAAAAATTAAATTAACTACCCCCCACCGGTCCCCCCAAAATAATTACACAAATCAAGAGAAAAAAACAACAAAGAACATCCATCTGGGAGTCAATGGGACTATAGGTGTGTCTTTAACTTCTTTGTATGACCTTGGGAACGTCAGTTAAATAGATTGTGCTTTGGTCTTTTTATCTCTAAAGAGGAGTCTGGACTGGATGATCTCTAGGGTCATCTAGAAAGATCAGCTTTGAATTTCCATGATTTTTCATTACCCAAAAGCCAGTATTTTGCCTAGCTGCTGAATACATAGACTGTACTTGATTATAAAGACTCTCATTACCAGTCATATATCGATTAAATTTTTAAATGATAGTTTTAAAAGCATAAAGGAACTTTATTTTCTAAATAAACTGTCAAGCATGCTTTATACAATTAATTTCTTCTCTTAAATAAGTTAATTATATAATTTTACACAATAAAATTAATATACATTCTTTGTTTTGTTCACTGATGCATCCCAAGTACCTAGAACAGTGTCTAGCATATAGTATGTATTCAATAAATATTTGTCTAATGGATGAATGAATTTATTGTAGTACATTGTCTCCAGTTTTCCATTGTTTCTACTGATGTCAGTTGTAAATCTTACTGCGATTTAGGTCTTTTAGAAGTAATTTTTTCTCTGCTCTTAAGATTTTCTCTGTTTGGTTTGTAACAGTTTGTCTATGCTGTGCCTAGGTGTGGTCTTTTTTGTACTTGTCTTTCTTGGAGTTTGCTGATCTTTCTGTATGTGTGGATTAATATCTTTATTGATTTTAGAATATTTTCATCCTGTACCTTTCCAATTATTATTATTATTATTTTATTTATTTATTTATTTTTGCCCTATTCTCTTTATTTCCTTCTGGGACTACAATCACACATATGTTCTTTTCTCTATTTCTCATCCTTTTCTCTCTTTTTTGCTTCAGTCTGGTTGTTTTTTTCTTACTTATTTTCCAGATCATTAATTCTCTCTTCACTTGAGTCTAATCTACTGTTAAATCCATCTATTAAGGTTTTAATTTTAGAAATGGTGTTTTTCCATACTAGATTTCTATTTAATTCATTTTTTCTGGTTCAAGTTCAGAAAATTTTAATCTTGTCTTTTATTTCCTTGTACTATTAAGCAACTGCTATGGACTGAATATTTGTACCTCCCCAAATTCATACGTCAAAACTGAACTCCCAAGGTAATAGTATTAAGAGGTGGGATCTTTGGGAGGGCTGTGCCCTAAAAAATGGGATTAGTGCCTTTATAAAAGAGGCTCAAGGGAGCTTGTTTGTCCCTTCTGCCATAAGAGGTCACATAGAAAGTGCCATCTGTGCGGAATGGGTCCTCACCAGACTCTGAATCTGCTGGTGCTTTGATCTTGGACTTCCCAGGCTTCAGAACTGTGAGCAATAAATTTCTATTGTGTATAAATTACCCAGTCTAAGGTATTTTGTTATAGCAACCCAAACAGACTAAGACAGTAACTATTTTTAAAATTGGTATATGATAATTCCATTATCTGAATCCCTTCTGGGTCTGTGACCATTTTTTCTCTTGGTTTCTAGTCATGTTGTCACCTGCTCTCTTTGCTTCCTTTTTTAATAACTGAGTTTTGGACATTGTGTATGAAAAAATTACAGAGATAATTTGGGGTTCTAGATCACTTTTTTTTCTTCATAGAGAATTTACATTTGCTTCTGACTGGTGGCTAAACTAAGGGCACTAACAATTCCACATCACTTTAATTCATTCAAGATTTGAAATGATTCAGATTAAGTCTCTAATCCCAAAGCCTGAAGTTTAGCAATTACCCTCCACCTCTTTGGTATTGTTCCTCTTTTTATCCATCTAGCTCCTTGATTCTACTGAAAGTTCATCTTACCTTCTCAGCCTCTCGGCTGCTTCTTTTAGAATTGGGATATGCTTCTAGAGTAAGGTGTCCCCAAATACCCCACTTCTTTGTTTTTTTTATTCCAGACTTTGGCTCTATAACTCTTCACTGCTTGGTAGCTTTCTAATGCTGTCAGGAAGACTTAAACAAAATATTTTGTATACTTTTCTTATGAATTCTGAACAGACGTGGGTCTGCCATTACTGGAAAAAGGATTTCTCTATCGTTATTTCTCAGTTATACAAGTTGAGGTATTATCTATAAACTTTATTGTAGAATGTAAAAGTTTAGCTCTCCTTTAACCTCGCATACATACGTATTTCTTTTCCCTGTATAATCTCCACCCTATGTAATCATATCATAAGTTTTGGTTAAATCCCATTGAATGTTCAAATTATTATGATTTTGTAAATACTATTCCCTAGCTGAACTGTGATGTGAACTGTGGTGATATTTCCTTTTTTCCCTTAGATTTAATACACATGCTTTTCAACTTATGATGGGGTTACATCCTGAAAACCCATTTAAGTTAAAAATATCTTGTCGAAATAAATTTAGTACCCTCATAAACCCAGTGTAAAGTTGAACAATCCTAAGTTTAACCTCGTAAGTCCAGGTGTTCCTCAACTTGCAATGTGGTTATGTCCTGATAAACCCACTGTGAAGTCAAAAAGCCATAAGTTGAAACATCTAAGTCAAACCATCATAAGTCGGGGATGGTCTGTAATTCTTTTGCTTTTTTCTTTGCTTAGTTTTCTAGATACTTAGATGTGATTATACCATAAAATTCTCTGGAAAAAAAATTGTAATAGTCCTTTTAGTATGAGCCAACTAATCAGATATTTTAGCAGTTCTTTTATTTGTTATGTATTCATATGTGATGTATGCATGTATTTTAGCACCCCCCATCTTCCTGTTCTAATCTGGACTGGTTGCTCTCTAGGCTTGCTGTATGGTTGCCCGCTTGCATTTTCCTTCCACTCAAGTCCTGGGAATTCCATTCGTCTTTTTTTCTGCTCCTTAGGCTTAATTCCCTTTCTTGGTTTATTTCTTTCTTCTGGTGTAGCATGTAATATAGTGGCTTCCAGTGAAAAAGTACATTTCATTCTTTTGAGTGTTTTAAAACCTTGCATGTCTGAAAATGCTTTTGTTCTTCACTTACATTTGATTGATGTTCAGAATTTTGTTGCTACTGTGCCATTTTGATTCCAGTGCCTTTTTATATTACCTGTTTTCTCTTTCTTAAAGCTTTTAGGATCTTTTTTTTCAGGTTGATCCCTGAAGGGAGTCTTTCTTTTCATTGCACGGTTCTTAGCAGGCTCTATTTTCTTTAGTTACCAGAATTGTTCTTATATTATTTATTTGGTCATTTTCTCCTCTCCATTTTCTCAGTTCTCTCTTTCTGGAATTTTTTTAGTCACCTGTTAGACCTCCTGGATTGATTCTCTAATTTGACTCCCATTTTTCATTTACTAAGCTTTTATTCACACCTTTTGGGAAATTTCCTTAATCCTATCTTCCAAACACCTATTGAATTTTTTTTTATTATACATATTTTTTAATTTCCAGGAACCTTTTTTTGTTCTTCGTCTTCTCTTTATATAGCATTTTGTTTTTTCATGAATGTAATGCTTTCTTTTTTAAGAATATTAACTCCAACTTTTTGATGATATCTCCTGTCACTGAATTATTGTTTCTTCAAGTTCATTTTTTCTGTTTTGATGTCTGTCCTTCAAGTTAGAGGTGTTTCTTCAATGCTTGGTGATGCTTGGCTATTCATTTATGTTTAAGATTAAGGCCCTAAAAAACCTCAAAGCTCTGTGTGAGGTTGTCACGTCTGTCAACTGATAGATGTCTTGCTTTTTTTTTTTCTTTTCTATTTAATGTTTATGTAGAAAATTATTACCTCAACAGAGAAACAAAGGAAACATTACAAATTAAATTTAAAGTCAATTGATAAGGAACATATTTAACACACAAAGATTAATGTCCTCAA